TTCCTGTTGGTGGATAACACAGTTAGGCCAGTGAACCCATGCCCCTTACCAGCAACAGAGGTCCCAATATTTTGGCCTCAGTTCAACCTAATGAAATGTGTTAAACAGTGGGGAGGAGGAGATGTTTAGGGCCAGAGTGGGCAGTCACCCATGCAGCAGACAGCCTGATTTTCCCCTTACATTACCCTCTTGTTTAAGTGATCCTACAAAAGGAGTTTGGCGCCTAAGGGGTGGGGTTGCTTTTTGTTGTTTGACGGCATTGAAAGGAAATTAGTGGTAAAGTCACAGGCTCTTCTCATTAATGTGGGCTTCACTCAGCTGTTCTGACTGACCTTAATAAGGCCTGTCACAAGGGGGTGGGGTATGCAGGGAACTGGGTTTGCTGTATATTGCTTCAGAATCATTCCTTCACCCCACAGCAAGCAAACAAATCCCAAATGAACTGCAGTTCCAAAGAGTACGTCTTATTTTTCGATCTTTGAACTACAGTCTGTTTCTTCCCCAGAAATAAATCCAGTGAGTGAAGAAAGACATCATGGCTCACACAAACAAAAATACGTAGCTCCCTGTGTGTAAACAAAAGATCAACAATGGAAAGTCGTCTCACTTTCTTGTACAATTTGCTGTCTGCCACAGGGAAATTTGTTTGGGTTGTTTTGTCAAGGGCTTTTCATGTTTAAACAGACTTGGCATTGACGTCTTTGTCCTGATAGCTTGGAAATTATTCCTAAGATGAAAGGGTACACATGAATTCAAATGGCTTTAAGCAGTGAAAGTAAATCTTAATCTATTCTGTTTATCCTTGAGCACTTTTTTAAAATTATATTGCCATGAAGTTCTATGAATTCAGATTCCCTGTGTAAAGACTTTTAAATAGGCCAGTGAAAATTATGTTGTAATTTATGTTAAATGCCAAATGTGAGTCAAAGGGAGATCCTGAGTAGAAATATCTGGAGTGGACGAGTTTCAATAAACAAACATAAACAAACACTGAAAATTTCCCTTCGAAGTTTCCATCATTTTTAAGCTGCTTTTTTTTGCACTTTAATGATTGTGTAATAAACATATTTTATTGTCAACACAATAAAAGCTGCTTAATAAAGAGATACTGTAGTCCACACAAAGTACATTAAAAAAAAAAGTGTCTAGTTGTGTATGCAGTGGGGTAGAACTGTTTGTTGTACTTGACTCAGAGCAAATAATTATCTCCAGAAAATAATAAGTTTGGGTTAATGAAAAAGCATTAAGTAGAAATAACAATTTAGCAGTAATGATGAATACAATTTTTATTGCTACTGTTTTAGAGTAATAAAGGGTATGAGTTAACTTGTGTGCCCTACAAATTTAATTTTAGAGCTACAGTATGATAAAACCTTCCCAGTGTCAGCAATGAAAACCTGTTTCACTAATGCCAGAGATGAAGAGTATGATATAACTTGGCATGTCATTTTTAATATCTGTAAGCTATACAGATAAACATGAAATTAAACATTTTTAAGGATTTAAATTTTCTTTGAATGTCCTTGAAATGTCCCACATAATGTCCAAGAAACGGAGAACTGTTGTGACCCAAAAGCCAAAAGGCCACCGTGACAGGATTACAGAGTTGACCTCAGCACTGGATGTTGGCCAGGAGTTACCACAGAGCCTACGAAGAGTCATGTCAAAGACTGATCCTAAAGCAAAAAAAAAATTGATTAAATAAAAACTGAGCTTTTGCCCAATTATGTTATAATATTACAGGTTTTAATAAAGAATTATTAGTGATGTTGAATGTGTATGTCCATTAGTTGTGGCTACTGTATGTTAAACATGTTTTTCCTTGTGTTGTGACATTTCCTGTGGCTCCCCCATCCGTGTGTTAGTAAATTTCCAGTCCAGGCTGATTGCTGATTTAATTCAGTCAATTAACAAGCAGCCATGGTGGAAATGAGCTGCAGTGTTATAATAATAGTCCTAAGAACAGATGTAGGGTCATAGAAGCTAAAGTCATTTGTTTATATGATTCAAAAACAAAATGATTTCAATAATGTTAACCTCCTGCATTAACAGTAAAATGTTCTTAACCAACTAGGCAGTAGATAAACAAAAGACAATGTTTTGACCTATTTAATATCAGTCATTTAATAGTTAAAATAGTTTAGGCTGATTTTCCCAAAATATCACTTCAAAAAGTAAACTCCACTTAAGTTCCCTCATAACAACAAAGCTTCTTTCTCACCTAAAAACACACCTGATATGTTCATGTACCAACACACAACAGTAAATTGAGACTCTACCTGACCTACTTAGACTGAGTTGAATTTAGACACAAAATACAGGGGAATTCCTGAGGAGAGCCCAATACAAAGCACCAATGCTGTCAGACTGTGGTGAAGATTTATGTTCCAACAGGACAGTCATTCTTACCACACCGCCACACACACCTTGGAATTTCTTCAGAAAATGGTGGTAAGTCTTTGATATTACTAAGCCCAAGCTTAGACCTGAGTCATGATGAAAAACATTCATGGTGGTCAGAAGATGGTTTTGTGAGATACTCCTCTTTCAGCTTGATTGAGCTTGAGTAAATATGTGGGAAGACTTCCAGAAAGTATGTAGCCACTGATGTGCCAAGTCAACAGATATATATTCAAGTTGACCCCAAGCTGTATCGGTGTCAAATGCAAATTAATGTGTTCCTCAAAAAGCTGAAGTATTTCTTGAAGAGTTTTGATCAGCACTAGCAGCAGCAGCACAATGCTGATGGCATTGTCAACGGCTCCTGAAGTGAGGATACGGACTAGCATACAGACCTAGTGCTAATTTAAAATAAAGACTTTTAACAATTCATCTCATTTCTAGCCCCTGCATAAAGAAAGCATGGGAAGACTATAACTTGCACCTCATGAAAGGCTAGTCATTCATTTACCCTGCTTTGATTTACATCCTGCCACAACCAGCTGCCAGAGCCATTTTGTGTTGAAGTGTTCAGAGAGCTTAGGGGGTTGGACTGTTGAAGTCATTTTAGAAAAGGTCTAGGCCCTTTTAGGGTGACAGAAATCTGAACTGGAGGACCTCTCCACTGCCCTGCACGCACACAAACAACATTTGTAGTTGGATCTACCCTTGACCAAGCGCTCCTGTTTTCAGGCCATAGAGTGAAGGGAGAGACTTGTGGCCAAGTGTCAGCAAGTTCCTGTAAACATGTATAAATGCTTTATACACTTGCTGCTTTATGCCAGAGGCAGCAAGAGAGAAATGAGGTCTGACCTGTGACTTGTGTGTGGGAGGGGAAACGATTGTAAGCTGAGGATGGTTATACTATTGAAAAGTGGAAATGAGGGCGAAGGAGAGAGGGAAAATGGGGTGAGCAAGAGAGATTTCCTAGGCTAATAAAATGCTTGGACGGATGGAAGCTGCCAGGAAGCATTCCTGTACTGTTAGATAAGTTAGCTCACTGCAGCCTCTGGTTTCTCTGCAGTGCTGAAGTGGCAAGCTGAGGTCAACACTGGGGAGTGAGGAGGATGGTGGGGCAATAAATTCTGAAAGTTTCTGTGTGTGGTTGTTGCTCTTAATCCTATGAAGTTGTTTTGGTTGATGATTTCCTTTGGCAATATATATGGGTAAAATCTGCAAATGATCATGCTGCTCTTTAATTCAGCACTTTCATTTTGTCCAAATCGGCATACTTGATCGTGACATTCTGATGATGGACATGTTGTTGCCAAATGGTTTTTTTAAGGGAGAAACATACAGTCAAGTGATCTTCTGGAACTAATTTTGGATTTTAGATGCAAGGTTTAGGTATCACACTCAGCCCAGGTTAGACTGTGTAGCTCACTCTGAGTGCTACCAGATTGACACCAGCCAAATGGCAACACTGAAACTTCTGAGTGTGACAGATTGCAGCAATACCAGTGAAGTCAAGGAGCTTTTCTTGCAGACTCTGTTACAGTCTGTCACACTGGACTGCTCATGTTGAAATTCTTTAACCCAGAAGCGTGTTGCTTGTTTTTACAAAGCTGTAGTAGTAAGTTCATAACCTCCCCAAGGTAGTAAATTTCTGAGTCGTAAAGTGAGATAAAGGATGGCAAAGAATATTTGCCTCCAAATTCTCCTTTAGGGAAATCTCTTGTGCTGTGAGGTAGCTCATTGAAATGGAAAGGGTGTTCAGTGAGTATTCACCAGTAATCTTAGTGTGATCGCTCTTAGTAGGACCTACCGGTATCTTAAACAAGCTGACTGCAGTTGAGTCTGTTCCAAATCATTCAGGAGATATTGGTCAATCTTTCTCCTGTGACGTTACTGGGTAAAGAAGATTAAAACAGGATCTTTGACTTGCATGATGCCCTTTAGCAGAGATCATCACATTGAGGCAGCAGCCGCAATTCATTTTTTGCTCACATAGTTGAGAGGATCATCAAGTCAAATTATATTTATATTGCCCAACATCACAAATCACAAATATGCCTCAAAGTGGTTTACAATCTCTTTAGCATACAACACCCTCCTTAGACCCCACAAGAAACCCTTTAACAGTAAAAAAAAAAAAAAAAAAAAAGGCTGAACCCTTAGGATGAGCAGCAGAAGAGAGATCTCTCTTCCAAGATGGACAGACATGTAATAAATCTCCTGTGTACAGAATAAATCAACAATACATTCACAGTATGCACAGTCCAAACGCAGAACACTGTATAAACATGTGAGGAAGATGATCCAGGAGGATGACCCAACTTCCAGGTTTCTTCAACAGACTCAAGCTACACAACCTCCTCTCCAAGCAAAGACCTGGAAGGAGAACAGATTGTCCAAATACACTAGAGGCAAAACCCAAGCACATCATTCGCACATATAGGGGAACACACATTAGAGAGAAATGACAAAGGGGAATGAACAGGAGATGGAGAGTGGGACCAATCAAACATTGTCTGGTAACCAAAGATGTATTTTTGGTCTGTGTAGTTGCATCACCCAACACAAGCTAAATGACTTGATTGACTTGATTTTTTGTCTCACAGGAATGCTGGTGGTCAATGTTACTTGGCGAAACAAGACGTACGTGGGCACGTTGTTAGACTGTACACGGCATGACTGGGCTCCCCCCAGGTAAGGCATGCAGCAGTTTTGTTTCAAATGGAGAAAGCAGGGGGCGTAATGATATTTAACTATGCATCATCTAACCTGCATTTGTTCCACCAATGGTGCATCAATAGTTTTTACATAGTATCTGCACTTTTCAAAGAACTTACTGTCTCACATGGTAGTTGCAAATGTCAAGGTAGAAAAGAGTCATGAATCATTGATGCAGTCTCTCTATCCAAGCTGCACTCTTAATATTTTCATATTCTGTGTGATATGAATCCGCTTTAGCATCATCAGCTCAAGGATATATAGCATTATGCAACAACTAGCATGTGTGCCGTTGAACCTTCCATGTTAAACTTTATCTTGAGCATGGGGAAAGAGGATTCACTGGCAAAAAGCCAGTGTCTCAGGAGGTAGTAGTGGAAATAGAAAGCTACTCTGACAGGCCAGATTGCAGAATCCAATTATTGGACTAATAGGTTTTTCTCAACACTATATAACATTCTCTATCCCTAAGACTGCAGTTTCTTAGATCAGTATTGTGTGGGCGAGAGCTTAAGGTGTTTCTTATTTCTGGGTATTTTCCTTTATTATGCAAAATACACTGGCTGGGTAAAATACATTTCTAAGCACTTGCTGTGATTTTGGAACACCTGCACTGTATCTAAATGTAAATATAAATTTGTTACAAATACATGGTTAAGTGCAATAGAAAAAAAAATCAAGATTAAAGTAGCGCTAATGGAAATCAAGGAGAGGCTGTATCACACTAATGTATTACAGTATATCACAATAGCATTCAGTAAGTTAGATTTGCACAGTAGTGAGTTTTGCTAGGGTGTATTTGCACAAAGATAGTCTTACAGTTTGCAGCATGACTACATTAGAGCCACACCATGAATAATTCAGAAAGCTTTCAACAGACTGAATATAAACTTGGGCTTCTAATGAGTCTACATTTCTCTACCACTGTCACTGACTACGGATGTATTCACATCCCCTGCTGGAACTGAAATTGTTTGGGAAAACTTGTGGAGGAAGCTGTGAGTCTTATAAACACAGTGTCTTTGATTATCACAGATTGCCATCCTTTACTGCTGTGCAGAAAAATAATTACATTACTGTTGTGGAGAGATAAAGCCTAGCTGGTAATTTCAATATTTGAATGACTTTGTTTTGATTGCAAACCTGCTAGAATATTCACTCCAATTTTTTCAAATAATGTTTACTTTTTTTATTTCATAAGTCATAGCTTTGTTTAAAATGCTTGCTTATTTATAGTGCACAAAATATCAGATTGGTATTTATGAGAACGATGGTATATGTACAGCTCTGGGAAAAAAATAAGAGCGCTGCAAAATGATCAGTCTCTCTGGTTTTCCTATTTATGGGTATGTGTTTGAGCAAAAAGGGTTTTTTTTGTTTTGTTTTGTTTTATTCTATGAAATACTGACAACATATCTCCCAAGTTCCAAATAAAAATATTATAAATAAATGCTCTATATATCATTTAGAGCATTTATTTACAGAAAACAATGGGTCAATATAACAAAAAAGTTTTAGCAGATCTCAATGAATGCAAAGAAAAGTTCAAATTCATTCTTAAACAACATAATACAAATGGTATGATTGCTATATTTGTAGAGACACTAATTTGAGAAACATTTGTAGTGGTCCCTCTTTCCAGAGCTGTATTTTTAGATCGTTGCCATTGTTTATTTTGGGTTCAAGACTTAAATTGTTATTGTTGGTATCATTCAACTTGAACTGACTGCACTTCTAATGAGAAAAATGTGGAATTGTCACATTATTAGGTATACCAAAACAGTAACAGTGAAGGTGAGATTCTTGGGGAAATACAAACAGACCTCCTTTAGAACATACAAACTTTAGAAAGGGTAGCAACACAGTGAAATCTTGTGATTGCATCTTGAACAGGAAAAGAAAAAGTCTTTGACAGCACTGGTATAAATGCCTTAGAGGGCATCACAGTTGAAAAATGACCTTTCTTCCTTTTACCTTGACAGTCACATGTTCACTGTTGTTACCTAGCAATGAATAAAAGGGGTTTGCATAGTAGCTGTGAAATCCATCTGAACCTTCCAGATACAGTGTATTTAACACAAGATAAGTTGTTACATCTTGTTTACACACACACAGATGATCTCCATTACTTTACAATGAAAAAGTCCACTGGGGGGTTTTATTGGCAGTGTATTATTCAGTCCCCACACCAGTATTAATTTGAAAAAACAGTGAGCTGAATTTCCATTGTATCATTTCAGAATCTAAACTAAAGCTCTGTTGAAATTATTATTTATCCTGTAACCTCACTAATTCCTACCTTTGATTTTCAACTCTACTGCAGGTTTTGTGAATCCCCTACAAGTGATCTGGAGATGAGGAATGGTCGTGGTCGAGGTAAGCGAATGAGACCAAATAGCAACACCCCTATCAACGAGAACAGTAACTCATCAGAAAACAAGGGCACCAACAACAACAAGACACGTGCTGCTTCTAACAGCAAGGGCCGGAGGGGCAGCCAGACACCATCAGAGCGACGCACCCCACCTAACAGTAACACCGAGGACATCAAGGCCAGTCCCTCATCAACTGGAAAACGCAAGGCCAAACCTGCCTCAGACATGGAACCTAATTCCAGCTCAGAGGACACCAGAGGCAGCAAACGTATGCGGACAAACTCGAACAGTGGAGGGGTGGGACCAACTGGTCTGCCTCTCCCTTCTATTAAGACTGAGCCACTTCCACCTCCCCTTGATCGCAGCTGCCCTTCTCCAGTTCTTATTGACTGCCCACACCCAAACTGCAACAAGAAGTACAAGCATATCAATGGCCTCAAGTACCACCAAGCCCGTGCACACAATGACGATGACATAAAGTTGGACTTGGATGGAGACAGTGAATATGGAGAGGACTCAACTCTCCACCCTGAACCAGGGAACTGTAATGGAGCATCTATTTCTCAGAAAGGATGCTTGTCTCCTGCACGTTCAATTACTCCAAAAGGCAGGAACTTTGATGCTCAGAGTCCCTCCCCATCTCCTGGCAAGTTTGGTTCAAAGCAGAGTAAAAAGAAAATTGCTGAAACTGATCCAGAAACAGGAGGTACACCAATGGATGGGTGTGAGGATGGGCCATGTCTCACCGATGAGGCTAGTAACGATGGTATAGATGATAAGAGAGGATCAGACAAGTCCAAAAAGGCTAGCACTGGCACAAAGGCTGATAAAATGGCCCTGAAAAACATGAAGTCACCACGGCCCATTGGTCCAGGCTCTGCAGCATCCCAGCAGATGTACTCCTTCCCTCCTGGAAACCCAAATTCTTCACCGGGGCTTAACCCAATCATGCAAGGTGTCCCCAAGAGTCCCCAAATGAAAGGCACACAGCCCAAACCCCCAGCCATTGGAGATCCAGCCTCAAGCAGCTCCAAAGACAAGAAGAAAAAAGACAAAAAGAAAAAGGATGGTGGGAAGGAGGCTGACAGCCCTAAGCCTTTGGGAAAGGGAGGGAAACTGGAGGAAGGAAAGCTTCCATATTCTGAGCCTTCAGATCAAGGAAATAAAGGGGAAGGACTCCTCAATGGTTCCTCAGATCCTCATCAGAGTCGCTTGGCCAGTATCAAGGCTGAGGCTGACAAGATTTACAGCTTTTCTGACAATGCCCCTAGCCCATCCATTGGTGTAGCCAGTCGGATAGATGGCAGTGGGATGCCACAGCCTCTTACATCACTTCACGTGGTGAACCAAAATGGTGCTGACAATTCTTCAGTCAAAACTAATAGTCCAGCATACTCAGACATTTCAGATGCTGGTGAGGATGGTGAAGGGAAGCTAGAAGGTGTCAAAGTGAGGACAGAGGACCAAGCCATCAGGGAAAGTGTCAAAAAAGCACTCTCTCCAAACCAGACGCCCAGTAAAGATTCCCCATACTATGCCGGCTATGAGTCATATTACTCACCTAGTTATGTCAACCCCAGTCCTAGTGGGCCCAATCCAGGAACAACAGTGGCTGAAGGTCAGGTTAAGATCAAAAGGGATGATGACCAGGACCAAGGTGAGGAGAAAGCCAAGATTGAGGTTCATGAAGACCGCAAACCTGACAGCGGTGCTCCTGGCCAACAGCAACAGCAACCCTCAGTCATCCAACAGCGATCCAACATGTACATGCAACCTCTTTACTACAACCAGTATGCTTATGTCCCCCCATACGCATATCATCCCGACCAAGCCTATCATAATCACTTGATAAACGCCAACCCAGCCTACCGGCAACAGTATGAGGAGCGGCAGCGCCAGATGGCTGAACAGCATCGTGCTGCTGAGAAGAAGTCTGATGTAGCCATAAAAGAACGAGAAGCCTCCTTGAAGGAGGAATGGAAACAAAAGAGCCCAATGCCACCAAGCCTCTCCAAAGCCTCAAGTCAGTCAGAACTTGGAAGGATGCCGCAGCCACCAAGTAAATCCAGGGACTCACCTTCTGAACCCTCTTCCAAATCAATGGGAGGCATGAAGGGGGAGGAATCGAAGTCCCAGCAAGCTGAGGGCCTGAAGATAAAGCTGACTGAAGGAGGTCACCATGGAAAGGAAGACTCCAAGCAAGCACTGGAGTCCAGAGGTCAGCCAGGGATGGAGCAGGCCATGTGGTACAGACAGGTAGGCCTAAATTTCAATCTAGTACAAGTGTTAGAATATAGGGTTTGTGAACGGTTGTACGAATATTTTAGAGTTACTTAGTTTATATAGATAAGATTTGTACTGACCTGGACCTTCTTTCCTCCCTTCAGCAGTACCCTGAAAGCCAAAAGCTCCAAGCAGAAGATGAACACCAGCAACAACATCCTCGGTGGAAAGATGAGAGGGACAGAGAACGGGAACGTGATCGTAAATTAAAGGATGACAGGTCCAGGCCCAAGGACAGTCAAAGTGGACCCAAAGAGGATGTCAAAGAGAGTAGTGATCCTAGAATCACTTCTGAGGACCACCGGGCTATGAGCAAAGACTCTCGTTCTAATCCCCACATGCAGTTCTCGTCACCGCTAGCACAGCACCAAGGCTACATGTCCTACATGCATGGTTACCCCTATGGACAAGGCTATGACCCCAACCACCCTGGATATAGGGGTATGCCCTCAGTCATGATGCAGAATTACCCAGGTAAGACATTAAATTGAGGTTTTAAATATATTCCTAATGAAAGCAGGCACTTTGGAAAAATAAAATGCTATTTAAATGTGTCTTCTCCCACACGACCACATACAATCCCAAAGCAGTGAAATGAATTCCAACAGGTAGCATAACACTGACAATAACATCATGGGTGGTTAATCCGTTCATTAACCAGCAACACATTGCATGGGGCAGACACACTGGCCTCATGGAGTCAAAACAATCAGTATTGTGCTCCGGGGGGAATCCAGCGTTGATGAGTTGACCATTCATCGCCACCGGGGTCTTCAGTGACCAGCTACTTGTAGCTTAGACCTGGTCAGGTAAAACAGCGGGTCCCTGTACAGGAACATTCCTGGACATGCAGTAACCTCAGGCCCTGTATTTTGCTCCACATCCTCTGGTCACAGTGCAGCAGCAGGAGGGAAAATATATTCACAAAACCGAGTCGAAAAATTTTGCTTTTACAATGGCACCATGGATGTGGGTTTTTGTTTTTTTTTTTTTTTGTTAGTTTGCCAGTATGGTGGGGCACCAGTGGATGACAGGCAAGTTCACATGAATGCTCAACAGCCTGGATTTTATGCCATTCAAGAAGATCCTTGAACTGTTACGTAATACTTTATTTTGGTAGAAAAATTGTCTGGTGAGCGAGAGTTTGTGAGACATGTATAAACCGAGTGGCTTCTACATAGAAATAGTAGAACACATGTTCACTTCATTTTTTTTTTTTAGCTTTAGGTCACGTCTAAAATGATAATTCACCCATTGTAACGTTGTAGATAAGTCAGAAAATGTCTGCTTTACTTGTATTATTTTTTGAAAGCACAGTAGTTCTAAGAATTTTTAGTACAGCTCTAGTTTATTTATCAAACCAGTCTCAGCAGGCTCTCGGAAGTATTTCTGTTATAATTTCTTTCTGAAATGGCTGAATTTTCTGCATGAAAACTGATGTAATTTGCTGAAATGTTTGTTGAATGATCCCATATAGAGAACAAGGGCCGACACTACACTGTACACAGTACCTGGATATAGCCTTAATAAGAAGGATGTGACATGGACTTATTGGTCACTTCAATCAACTGTGTCAATCAATTAAGCTTGATTGCTGAGTATTAATGAAGAATAAGCACTAATCAGTTGTCACATTTGTATTCCATGTAAGCATAAGTAAGAGCCATTGATTTTTCACTCTTAGGTTCTTACCTACCTGGAGGTTATCCATTTTCGCCATATGGTAGTAAAATAGCTGGAGGTGAGGACGGCAGTGACAAATCTCGTGCTAGCCCTACTGTCACCAAAATGGCAACGGACTCCAAAGCTCTGGATATCCTGCATCAGCACGCCAGTCAATACAGCAAATCCCCCACAGTAGGTGACAAGCCACCCCATGACAGGGAGAGGGAGCAGGATAGAGGAGGTGCTTCAGACAGGGACCGGGAAAGGGACCGTGAGAGAGAAAGAGAGAGAGACATGGACCGACCGCGCTCCTCACCCTCCCAGCGCATAATGCCCTCTCACCACCACCTGGGATACCCCCTGCTCTCAGGGCAGTATGACCTGTCCTACACCACAGGTCAGTGTTCTCAGCCACCCCATGTCTGATGGATTCTTTACATTAGATGTTACACTGTTCTTGCATACTAATTTCCTACCAAACTAGCAAAGTAAATTACTGTTATTCACTTAAATAGAACAAGGCCTGCAGTATAGCATACTTTAATTTGATGCATAATGTGAAATTATTGGCAGATGACCAATTAGCGATCTAAGTTCAGATCTAAAATAGGAAATATCACTGATAGCCATACATTTTCCAACTTGCCATAGGTCTCTCCTCATCAGCTGTTGTTGCCAGCCAACAAGCAGCAAACCCCTCCCTCTACCTTCCCCCACGGAGGTGAGAACGGTAAGACCCCTTTAGCAGTAGAGACAGGAAAAAGACTGACAGTGAAGAAAAACACCACTGATACACAGGCAAACTGAGAGCAGTGTTTGCAAGCTTAACAGCTGCAGATTGCAGACGTTGAGCTTCACACAAACGATGCACAAAACTCCACTAGAAAATATTTAGTTATTAGATACTGGCACAGATGTAAAAATAAAAAAGAACAACCGTCCCTACTCTTTGCTTTCAAGATTTATGTTGCAGACTCAGTTACTGCAAGAAAGCCCTTACTATCCTCGTGCAATCTAGTACAACATGCAGTGCGGTATTTAGCCCCTCAGCTCATCCGTTCTAAGTAGGATCACAGTTTTGACAAGAGAGATGTGGAATGACCCTGGCAACACACAAAATCAGAGCAGCCTGCACTGACATCTAGTGAGAGCTCTTTTAAATTACAGCTGAGGTATTTGATAAATAAACGTGCACTCAGTTCATTAGGCTACATGTACAGTAGCTGAAATTAATGCAGCCCAATAAAACAGTCTTGCAATAAATCCCACTTTCATGAAGGTGGTTATGTTTCTTTTTTATGGTTTAAAATAGGTATTGATTCTGCTATATGTATATATTTATTATTTTTGCATGCTGCAGTTTCTGGTGCTATTGATTTATGTCTATTATACTGACAGGTGTTTGTTATTTTTGTCCACCTCATTTATATAATTGAAGGTAAGCTAAACAGAAATAGAAAAAACCCCACTTCCACAACACACTTCTCTGGGTTCATGACTCATGGTTTGATACCTGATTCTTTATTGTCTGTTACCTTAGTGCCTGTTATGAAGGACAAAGCTGGCAAAGTTGGTAGTCTGGATAACTATAGGCCAATAGCTTTGGCCAGTGTAATATCTAAAGTTCTTGAGAAGATATTGCTTGATCGCCTGTGTCATTGTATAACAACCACACATAATCAGTTTGGTTTTAAATCCAAGCTGGGGACAGATCTGTGTATCTACAGTCTGAAGGAGGTAGCACAGAAGTACCTCAGACAAAACTCCTCGGTCTTGATGGGTTTTATTGATGCATCCAAGGCATTTGATAGGGTTAATCACTTTCCCAGACACAGAATGTTCCTTTTTCCTGGCAGTAGATTGTGTCATAGTGACACTGTTTACATAGACCTTACTCCTTCCTATTTTTATAGTCTTCTATGATTGTAAATCATTTTATGTATGCTGATGATTTGGCCATACTTTCGCCCAGCAGTGCTGGTTTTCAGCAACTGCTGAATGTGTGCTCGGACTATGGATTGAAGTATGATGTGAAATATAATGCAGAAAAGAGTGTTGTACTGATCTGTCGGACTAAAGGGGACAAAGAACTTTGTTTCCCAGACTTTTGTTTGTCTGGACAAAGGTTGAGTGTCTGTAGAAAAACTAAATATTTAGGACATTTCATTACAGATCAGCTTTCTGATGATGAGGATATATATCGGCAGTGTCGCATTTTGTATGCTCAAGCTAATATGTTGGTTAGGAAATTTCACATGTGTTCTGCTAATGTTAAAGTTCATTTGTTCAGAACATACTGTACACCGTTGTATACTGCCCCATTGTGGTGTAAATATAAGGTAGCTACTTTACAGAAACTTAAAGTTGCTTATAATGATGCCTTGAGGATTCTGCTTAAGAAGCCTAGGTCCACCAGCGCCAGTCTGTTGTGTTCACAGGTCCATGTTAGTACCTTTCAGGCATTAATGAGAAACCTGATGTACAGATTTATCTGTCGTGTGAATAACTCTGAGAACAGTCTTATAATGATGCTGGCTAATCCTGGTTTTAGTGTAGTACGTTACCAATCCTCTCTGTGGAAACATTGGTATAAATGTCTTTTATGATTTTTATTTTTTTTTTTCTTCTTTTATATCCTTTCTTTTTTTTTCTTTTTTGTATGGACCTTGAGTCTGCTAATAAAGGATGATGATGATGATGATGATGATGACGACTACAATCTCCATACAGTTCATTCAGTCCCTCTCTAATAAAAGAGTTTGAACAGCAATGAGACATTATCACCTTCATGAAGGAGGATTTACTGCAGGGCTGTTCTGTCAGAGTGCATTCAGTTCAGCTCAGTGTACCTAATAAAGTGGCAGCGTGAGTGTAGACTGCAGGTCTAATACATTACAACTAATAACATCATCTCCAGCAGTGGAAGGAGCAGTCGTGTCTTTCAGCTTTAATTAAGTAAAAGTACAGACGTATTATCAGCAAAATGTGCTTCATGTGTCAAAGGTTCTGAGTGTGTAGAACAGCCTCTTGTATATATTGTATACATGGTTAAGTGTGGATTCATGTGCCAAAAGAATTATAATGTTGTAGTTGGACAAAGTGGGAAAAACTATTTTACATTATGTGTGTAAAATAAATATTTTTTTTAGCTGTTCATATGGTTTGTATTTCAAGTTTTAATCAACTAAGTCAATTCGGTTCTCCAGTATAAAAGTACAATTTTTCCTTCTGAAATTTGGTGAAGCACAAATATTAAGTGGTCTAACATAGTAAAGTACAAACACCTGAGAGTTGTAGCAGTACACAGTACATTCCACACAGTGGCTACCTCACAGAGAGAAAGGCTACAAAAGTGTCTGATGCATTTATTAATCAGAACATTTTCTTTTTGCTTCTGTATTTTGGTAAATTAATAAGCAGTCTGGTGATAAATAAGTCTTTCTTTGTATCTTTCACAGGGAAACCTGACCGTCACACCTCAACCCTGCAAAGATTCATGTGACTGGCTCACATGAGAAAATGATCTCCCGGGTGTTAAACTTTTAGACATCAGTTGAATGGTGTTTTTATCTATATTTTTAGTTCACCTGCCCCAAGGCTAGGCAGATTGTTGTTTTCTTCCTCCCTTTGTAAATTACCCCAAATGCTCCAGACCTTGGACTGTAAAGGGACTGATAATAACCCAGGTTCAAAGCCATCACTCTGCCCCATCACGCAGAGGAAACACCAACCCGCTGATTATCTAGTCTTTGCACTGTCAACAAATACAATGCAAAAAGAGACTATTGGACTGCCAGAACAGCTTTTATTTTTTGTTTGTTTTGTTTTTTTTTCTTTTACTGCATTGTTTTTTGTTGCACGCAGAAAGAAATTGGCGGGGGATTTTGGGGAGTTGGGTGGCTGATGGGAAAGGGGAGTCAAACTAAATTAAAGACTGACAAAAAAAGTGAATCATATTGAAATGACTTCAGCTCTGTGTGTGGCTTCTCATATGCCGTGAAACAAGAGTATATCCTTAACTTGACAAATGTTTGGCTATATTTCATGAGGAGAGGGAATATGGCAACAGCTGCTTTCTTCAGAGACCTAAGAGCCTGAGACTGAAGTTTAAGTTTCCATCGTCATTGTTAATTCCCACCCTCTATGAACCTTCAGTTCTTGTTTCAGGGATGATGCCATGTTTTGTGAAGGGACGGCATACACCTCAACGGAGAATAAACACTATTCATGTTTTCTTTTCTCAGTACTTCGGTTCTACTCCGTATCATCTCTGAATGTGTCTGATGCTGGTATTAGTTCTGTTTTTCCTCACAGCGAAAGGGTCACATCCGTCTCTACACTCCTTCAAACTGTGAAGCCATAAATTCAGAGGCATTGTGGGGGTTTTGCCATTTTACTGTAAGTTTGTGCTTCATTCAGTTCATCAAGTTTTTCTGTAAACATTGTGAAATTTCACTCAGCTCATGTATTTTTTCTGCTGTAATACAGACTCGTAGCCTACTTTTATGTGCATAAATGGTTCTATTTCTCCCAGCACGCAACAGCTTTCCAGCTTCACAGGGTGTAACGGTGTGCTCAGATCATTGCTGTTGCAGGGTCCTGAGACATCTCTGTGTGCTCCTTCTTCACCCTAGCTGTGGTTGTCTTGCTGCAGATGTTTTTATTCTTCACTTAATTCTGACAACATGTCACAAGCTTGGTTCACCTCCCTGTTCGTCCCAGCATACAGTAGAATGGTTCGAGACCTCTGGATCGCTGTCCACACCTTTTTGGCAACTGACACTTCAGCCAGATAAAAGGAAAAGGTAAATCGTTCTGACCTTTAGGCTGTTTGCTCTGCCAAAACATTAAATATATTTTTGCTTGCTTTTGTGGATTCACATTGCTAGCATGGTTTTCTTTCCGGTGGCTAGCTTTGGATCAGCCTTAAACCAGTCCACTGAGCCTCAGACAACAGTTTTTTTGTTGTTGTTGTTGTTCTGTTGGTGTTTGCGCTGTAAGGACAACTACTGGCACGTTACAAATGACCCAAAACAAAGTTCAGAGCAGCGTGGTAAAATGAGTGAAGTGTGATGCCACGACTGAGATTAACAGTTGCCCAATTAGCTGAAAAGAGGTGTGTTGCTGTAGAGTGTGGTTACTTGAACCAAGCCCAGTAGGACCAATCAGTCAGTACCTGAGGGTTTGTGTCGGAATTTGACAAATTTAGAAATTATGTTCAGGTTGAACACGTAGGTCAAAACTTTAGGCTAGACTGCTGAAGCGCTCAAATGTCTGCTTCATTCAATGATACGGGGGGAAACACCATACAAACTCAACTGCATCAGGCTCAGGGTGGGTCCGCTTTGGGTTCAGGTGCCATGCTCTCTGGCACAGGTGGGGCTCGAACAGAAATCTGCAGCCTGATCCATGTTCTCTATTGCTCTAGGCTGTCCTTTAAAGCTTCAACTGGTGGTACCACTCAGAGTTCAAACAAGTCAGTTATTTTAAAAGCTACACAAAACGTCGCTGTCAATGTAGCCTGTTCTACTAGAGTTCCATCTTTAAATTACAGTTCCCTGAAAGCTCAGTGGCTGTAAGTGAAACTCTGTCCATATGCTATGTGCGTTGATTTGAGCAGGCTTCTTTTTATGGTTGTGCAAAAAGCAAATTTTCTGCTCAGAGCTGGATGTGCAGAAGTTGTTCATTCAGAATTGGCTCAGGATAGGAGACTGGGAAAGGTGTTATGCCATTAGTTGTAACCATTTCCTCTTAAATTATTATAATGAGAGCAGAATTGTGACCATGTTGTCATAAATCCTAATTTTATTCATTTTGGTTTTACATTCTCTTGTAATGTTCTTATTGTAGTTATTTTTCCATTTAACATATGCAGTCTGATCAAGCTTGTAAGCCACCAGTTAATCTCATTTCCAACGCCCTCTGAAGTTGAACGTTAGTTGATGATTATGAATCCGCAGCTCTTCATGTTAACATTCTTGGACATTCCAAGATGATAAGTTGCCAGTTTCTCGTCCCACGAATTTTACAAGATGGTCTATCTTATCATTTTCTGCGCATTTTAAAGAAGAATGGTTGACATGAATGAGCTGAATGTGGTGGTGTTTGACTTGTACTTAATCTGTAAGGGTAATAATCTAGGCAGCTGTGATGTTGTCATTAAATTCAGTGGGTTTTAGTACCAGCAGACTGCATACATATAGTTTTTATGACAATGGTTGTGACAAGTGCATTTGTTCTCTCTCTGAGAGTAGTAATGTTATTTCAGTAGTCAGCAAAGCCCAGTGAAAATCATATATCCTAATGTGTATGAAAAGCCAGAAAAGTAATGTTTGCTATCAACATATTGGAAAGTGCTTGGCTCTTGTATTTTGTTTCATGATGAAGAGTATATTTATTGGCCAGCAGTTGTCTCAATTGGTGCCTAGTTGAACATTCTTCTGTGAAATAAACAGCCACATTTGCTCGTTTGGCCTTTCCTTGCCTAACGTGCACACACCCCCCCCCCCCCCCCCACAAACTACAGTACCAGTGCTGGTGCTTGCAAGGATGTTTACAATGTCTTCATTTTCTTTCTGTGTGAAAAATTCAGAACTCTTCCCCCTTCTCCCTGTTTCTCTCTCCCTTCAAGAGTTTGTGTAAAGTGTACATTACCATGGTTCTTTTTTATACAATACTCTGTAACTTGCCTTTGTAAATTTGGGCTGGAAAAAAATAAATCTTTTTATGAGACAATCTGTCCTGGAACCTACTCAGTGGCTTCTCCTCTGTTGATGCAGTGGGGTTCGAGTAATAACATCATTAAATAATCTTAGCGGTCCTCTTTTTAAAAACTATACCATGAAAATGAATATTTTCAAATCTGTCAGCCTTGGGAGTCTACTTCGTTATAATGGAACAGTGGTTTCAATGCTGCTTCACATAAAACTTCATTTTAAATAGAAACCAGTTTGCCTTTTGCAGCCTTTGTCAAGATGCGTAGTAGTAGTGATACGTAGTTGTTATACTACGTTTTCATCATTGTTTCACTCTAAGAGCAGAGGTGGGGACTTGAGTCACCTGACTTGAAGTCAGACTTAAGTTGGAAATTTTGAGGACTTGCTCGACTAACACTGGTAAAAGACTCTACTCGACTTTCTCTTGGTGTTCATGACCTGAGACTTGACTTAGGCTTGAGACAGATGACTTGAAATTACTTCACTATTTTATTAAATATTTGCATTTTTCTAAATATTGAGTAGTTACATTTTGCTTTTGAGACACAATTGGGTGGTTTCCAATGCAGTATGTGCAAATCTGGCAAACTACCAGAACGTGGCAGACCAGCAGAGGGCAGCACTGGTAGCATGATGCAGTTCTGATGGAGGGGACTAGTCCATAAATAATATTTAGATTCAAGGAGTATGTTGTTGATAAATGGTAGTAAGAAGAGAACAGCGATATGCAAAGTGTGCGTTGAAAAATCAGCAACACGACCACCACAACATCCAACTTCATCCATCACTACAGTTTCCAATAGCCATGAAAGGCCTTTTTATTTAAAAGGTAATGGTTAGTGACTTGCTTGGCTTACAGTAGGGACTTGACTTGCTTGATTGTCACCACAGTAACTTGGGACTTGCTTGAGAATTGAAGATTAAGGACCCAAGACTTGCTAGTGACTTGCACATGTGTGACTTACTCCCATCTCTGTACGAGTATACAAATGGAGGAAGCAAAATTTGATTTTTAGTTAATATTCCTGTCCAGGAGGAATCGAAGAGCTCATTCTAGAAATACAATATCTGAGGGTATGGAAAGCACATCGTGGGCTTTGACCACAGGAGAGCAGTGTCTCTACTGAGACCACAGTCTGTAAAAACCAGTTAACATGTCTATTCTCTAACTGTTAACGCAGTTTGCTTTTAAAATTTAACAGAACCCAAATGTCATGTTATAAAATCTACTGCAGATAATAGATCGGAGTGATGTAATCATCAACTAAGAGTGCTTTGCGTATTGTTAATTCACTTGGATGTTTCATGTGTAAGGTGCAGAACGACACGTACAGAGTTTAACATTATAGGAGTGTCTTCGCATTCATCTGCTTTTGGGAGAAAGATTCTCTGTGTTTACATTTAATCTGGGTTTAGGGGATGTACACACCAGCGGGAGTTGGTGCCAGTCATCTCATATATTCAGGATTTTTCAGTTAGGAGTAGATATAAATGTATGAATTTGTAAGTAGGGTTTGTTTTTGTTTTTTTGTGTGTGTGTGTGTGTGTGTGTGTGGAAAACCCCGTCGAGTGTAATTGTGCAGACTGTTTTCAAACATGTCCTTGGAGATGTTAAAGTCAATAATCATGCAAAAATGCCCAACATTTCCTTTCTATATAGTTTTAAAATGAAAAGAGTGTCTGGACTGCTGCTCAGACAGATTCATCCATTTCTGGATCACCTTAGGCACTGGAAAACCGTACATTTGAACTAATCTGACAGCTCAGTAATAGATTCAAAAACAGAATAATCATTAGTTCCAGCCATCACTGTGTGTTCGACCAGCTGTCAACAGTGCACTCTCCTCAGTACGTCACTTAACATACACACTGTCAAAACTTTATCTGCTCTGGCTGTGGCATTCACTTCTATCAGGCAATTAGGATATTTTTAACTGCCCCTAATGCTCTTTAACTGAGCTCTGTGCATTAGCATAATGCAACAACAGTGACAGGGAGTGATTACACTGGGGATGATTTTGTTGAGTGTAAATGTGAAATCTGATTATCCTCTTCTCTCAGCTCGGCGGAGGGAGGAGGGCCAGAGAGAGGGAGAGAGAATGAGGTTGGCTGGAGGAGAGATTCAGAGGGAAGGAGGGGTTAAGATAGCAAAGTGCTGAGCCAAAGGCTTTTCCACAGAGCAGCTGGCTAGCATCAGGACAGGACAGGCCGCTCAGAGGAAGGATACCTTGAGAACAGGTCTTCTACGCTCAGTCTAGGGCACTGAGGGTGACTTTCAGGAGGTGTTCATGGGATGCACTATCTACGCAGCCAGCCCTAAGGCCCTGCCTGCCGACGAGGCCACAGGCCAGGAGAGATACTACCGACCCCCCCACTACCGCCACCCCCATGGTAACTGCAGTCAGAGGATAGCAGCCAGCAGAGCCAGGTCAGTCAGCACCACGCAGGAGGTACGCTGAAGGTACTGAATATTTGGCATGGTCATCATGAGTCACACTGTCAAGGTAAATCCAGGTGTGACAAAAGGATGTTTAACTTGGGTCAAAAGGGGTATGGACTGTGCAAATGGAGAACATCAGCAAGACAGCCCTTGTTTTTTCATTCACTGTTTATATGTAGAAAAACAAGACTTAGAAATATTTAAACTATAAATAAGTACATTATACAAATAGATACTTTTAAGTGAGACCTACTGTTTTTTTTCTTCAGTAGAACTTGGGACATCCAGTTTGAGATTGCAAATTAAGTGTTTTTGTTTTGGGGTATCAAATTGGTTACAGACTGTACATAAAGAAGAAACTCAACAACATTTCCAAAAATAAACAGCAAATTAAAAAATTACTAAATTAAGAGATTACATTTCCATTGCACTGGTAGGTCAGGTTGGGTGAGCCTGCCAGATGTTACTATTTGGCATTTAGATGTGTGAAAGCTGGCGGCATGGTGAAGTAGTGATTAGTGATGTCGCCACACAGCAAGAAGGTTCTGGGTTTGAGCCCCAGCTGACCCGGGGCCTTTCTGTGTGGAGTTGCATGTTCTCCCTGTGCCTGTGTGGGTTTTCTCCTGGTACTCCGGCTTCCTCCCATAGTCCAAAGACATGCCTCTTAGGTTGCCCCTAGGAGTGAGTGTGGGTGTGTGTGGTTGTCAGTCCCCAAGTGTCAGCCCTGTGATAGACTGGCAACCCATCCAAGGTGTACCCCGCCTCTTGCCCAATGTCAGCTGAGATGGGTTCCAGCCCCCAACAGCCCTTCTCAGAATAAGCAATGTACTGTAGATGGATGTGTGATAGTCCCTGTCTCAGCAGTGTTTGTCTCCTAACCGTAGCTGGTTAGTGGTTTGACTCCCAGCTTCTCCAGTCCACATGAATTGTCCTTAAAAAGACACTGAACCCCAAAGTTTCTCCCACTGGCTTTTCATCGTTGCAAATGGGTGAAGGAGGAAAAAAAAGTGAGAAAGCACTCTGGGTGTGCTTAAATGGATAGAAGAGTTTTTTTTTTTACATTTTTATCGTGATTTTCCAGCCTTCTTCTTTTTCATGTATTAACTAATGTTGCAGATTGTTACACCTGCAGTTTGGACACAGGTGATTCATCCATAACTTGAATCACAAAGTTTGTGTCTGATGCCATTGTGAACCTAATATCATCCATCTTTGTAACAGTCTCATTGAAAAGGTCCATCTTTATACCTGAGAGCCTCTAACTAGTTGGAAAGTGGCTCCACTTATTGTAGACAGATGGCTGATTCTTAGGACTCCGTAAGATTTCTTTACACATGCTTTTTCATCGTTTGTTTGTTTAACTATCTGTAAATCTTTATCTGTACTTTTTGGTGTGGTTACACACACCCCAGGTCTCATGTCTTTTGTTCAGCACAGTGGTTTTTTTCTTCTGTCTTCGTTTCTAATAATAATATACTCATCACATTAGGAGGAGGGAACAGCAAGTTTTGTACTTTTACTTGAAAAGATTAAATCATTTTCTGTCAAAATAATGATTATTAGACCAAACTTTGCAATAGTGATAATAAATATTACTTAAGTAAAAGTACCAATATATTTAAAAGTAGATTAGGTCATTACAAGTGAAATTCCTGCAAAATCAGAGTCGGCTAATGCATAAAACCACACTTTACTGTTGCAGTAGTTTGAGGTGGAGCTACTTTTTAAAACTGTATATTCTATATTCACCTAGTTAGTTTAGTCCAGCGGTTCCTAACCTATGAGTCGGGCCCCTCCAAAGGGTCACAGGTTTAATCTAAGAAAACCCGAGATGATTAATGGGAGAGGAAACAGGATAAAGTCATGCTAAATAAATTTGTATTCATTTGTTGAGCTTTTTATTGGCACAGGCCTATAATGAAATGCATTGTTTGTTTTATGTAAAATATGAATCTGAAAAGTAATGAGTCCAACAGTTAACATATAAATGTGGTGGAGCAGAAGTAGAAAGTAGCAGAAAATACACTTGAAGCTCTACATGAGTATAGTAGGCTACATGAGTACATGAACTTAGACTACTTACTTTGCACCAACTCTAAATAATGAGACATGGCCTTGATATTTTTAGATGGTAGTTTTGTTTTTATTTTATACAGTTTTTAGGGGTAAAATGTCAGCTAAAATGCCCGATGTAAAACGCATATGGATTAATAGGCTACCTGTAAAAAGACTACTGTATGTACAACCTACTTACCGCAGTAAAGCAAGTCCTAATGGGTAGGATACATTTAGGCAGGTGAAAACGTCTAAATATAATGGTATAACTGTTTTAAAAAAACAAATAAACAAACGACCAAAAGTTTTTGCAGTCATTTTTCTGTTGGTTGCCTGTTGCTGCAGTAATGCCCGAGCCGCCTATTAATCCCCTGGCGCTGCGTAAACAACCCGCACTGGGGGTTGGTGCGCTCGACCCACCTCCACAGTCGGGCACGCTTCAGCGGAGGTCATAGCTCCGTCAGCGCGACTCTCTGCTTTAGCGTTAATTATTTGCGCAGAATGGAGGGTTTTCGTCGTTTTTTGAGGATAAAGAACATGAAGTGACTTCACCACGAAATGCATCACACACCTGCGGCGTTTCCTACAGCTACAAGGAGACAACACAGCCGAGAAAGTCGCTGCGGCTCGTGAGCTACAGGTAGGCGAATTAACAGGTGTCAAGCTAGCGCGAGGAAGACTGAGGCTTCCGGTAAATATTTCAAAAATAAAAGCGCGATTTGCGAATTTTGGGTGTTAATCATAATCAGAATGCTTTTTAAACATATAATCATTTGGTAGTGATGTCCGGTAGCTGTACCTGAGTGGATTAGTCAGTCATTAATCATTAACAAAATTAATGGCCAAAGATTTTGATTACCGATTAATCATTTGAGTATTTTAAGCAAAATGTCCAAGATTTAGCCTTTCAAATATGAATGTTTTCTGGTTTTCGTAGTTGATTATTTTCCACAATTTTTTGACATTGTATGGACTAAATTACTTATCAATTAATAAGACAATGATCAGATTTATCGGTAATGAAAATAGTTACAGCTTTACCTTAGAATGCTGTAGAATTTCTCAGCAATAGATTTTACCAGAATTGTGCCGTTTCTCTCATTATGATATTTGAAGTGTGATTAGGCATAAATCATGTTTGTGTATTCCTTTATGGTTGTTGCACTGCAGACTTTATTCTAGAAGTGAATGGTTTTTCACTCTTATCTTGAAGAATCGCTTCTGTTCCGGTCTAAACCTGGTTTCACTTGACCAACTTGGCGACGTTTCTGCTTTTGCTAATAAACAAAAGCTTTAGTTCAAAACGGCAAGTGCCATGGATCTTTCAATTTCAGGAATAAAATGTAGGCTATTTATAGGCATATATACCGTTTTTATTAAAAGTGGGAAATGTGAATAAATGGTGTCCACGTGTTTGTAAATGATCAAATAAAGATAAAACCACAACAAGGATAACCCAGAGAGGTCTAAGCTTTCACAAATAGCCTAAAAAGCATCCGGTGTGGACTACAGATAAGCCACCTTCTGCTTTTCACTCAAAGTAAACCTATTAACAAAGCAGACCACATTTTTCAAAGCCACCTTGCTCAGAGGTCACCTTAAGCTGTGCTGTCAATCTTAACTACAGACATGTTAAGTTCTGTTATTAATGTTGAATTTAGCTCTTTTTTTTCCCCTGTGAGTGTTTTGGTCTTTCAGGTGCTTTCTATTAAACTGAGAGTGCCTGTGATCATGGAGGGACTAAGATGTCGAGCATTTGATTAATAGCTTCAGTAGTTTGTTTTGTATGTGTGCATGAAGAGTGGCATCCCACTTATTACTGATATAGAACAGTGTAGCCTCAAAAATGGACTTGACTTTGTAACAGCAACCAGAAGTCAGTGACAGAGAGCTACAGGGAAGTGAGCAAGCAGCTGCGGAGAGAGCGAAGTGGTTGTTCAGCAACAATCCCAGTGGCTAGCAACCTTAACAGGATTAATGTTAATTGGACTGGAGCCGTTCCTGTGACTGAGGAGGAAAGACAGAAAGGTCGAAGCCTTTCTATTAACATTCATGAATACAACAAGAAAAAAAGTAGGCAGTAGAACAGAATCAGCAGAAGACCTGGTAGGGGGTTGAAGGACTGTGTAGTGCGGAATGTAACCTAAAGTGACCTCTGTTCTAATATAAAGTGGTTGTTTGCTTGTTTGTTTTCTTAAACACTGACAGTGCTGTCACATGGGTCATATGTACTTTATGAATTGTCTTGTGGAAAATTGTTTCGATTTGACACCTGTGTCCACAGAGTGCTCTGACTGTCCAGCTGTGCTGGTAGTGCTGCTGAAACATAGAATTATGAGCGCTCCTTACTTAGATAGAGTAAGGCTTTGGCCAACCCGAGTCCTAATAATAAAATGGCGCCTGAATAATCTTCATCCTACTATGTAATAAAGACCTGATATTAAAGCAGAACACTTTTCAGTGCTTGGTGGCACAAAACCTTAGGATTTCTATTAAGGATAAAATTTTCCTACCTTTAGTAATATACAGAGTTACCGTATATAGATTTTACAACTTTACATGTGCTTCACACATAAATTAAATTATATTTATAAAATGCTTAATCCATAGCTAAAATGTGTACTCTTTTCTCCTAACTTAATCAGAGCACCTTAAGTGATTTTTCTTTAATAGTTTAAGTACAGTTTTAAGGAATATCTTACCTGAATATGTTACATATCACCAGAGCTATATGGTATCTTATTACAGTATTTCAAGCCAACCACTTATGCTCTTGAGCACAACAATCCCCTCTTTGAGCATTGCTTTTAAGTGAATTGCAGCAGCATCACAAGCCTTCATTTTGCCCTCAAGCCCACATCTGGGATCAGACACCGCTCCTTAATTACAGAGGCTTAAGGTGAAAACCCGCAAGTCCTTTCCTTGTTTATTACAACAGGCCCTCACCTCCCATCACAGATAAACAAATCATATGTAACCTCTAGCACCAAGAAGCTCCTGTTGTTTGAACAGGTCAGTGGTTGACGTAAAGTTTCTGGCCAATTAGAGATAATACATTGGAAACTACACGCAGGAGGCTATTTCCATCAACACCTTTAATTACACCAGAGCAGGTGGTAATGACGTCCCCTCTCCCAGAGGAAAATTTGGTACACAGCAGGTGTGTGTTTGTGTCTATATGTGCAAAAGAAAAATGTAAAGCACAGGTGAGAGGAAGAAACTAAATCGATGGTTTAAAGCTTTCCGCTACTTCAGCTGTAATGTGACAAGACTGCAAGCATTTCAAAGGTAATAGCAGATTTTTCTCTTCTAAGTTATGATCTAGGAAGTATTTCTGCTGTTGCTAGGGGGAAACTAGAAGACTGTGCATTACTCATTTGAAAAGGTAAATTAGGATTTGCTAAAAATATAAGTGGGCGTTCAGAATGATCCTTTAAAAATGGAACTCCCTGCTGTGTTTTAACACAATTGGCTGTGTTGGTTGGTTTAACATCCAGTGCTAATGTCGTTGGCATGTCGTTAGGGTGTGTTAACTGGGGCCCAAATAAGACAGTGAATAGAAGTGAATGCTCCTACTAACAAGGTAAACAAAAGAAGCCTCTTCCTGTGGTCATATACATCCTCCGCTCATCCCCCTTATGTGATTGGTCTAAACAGTGACTTCGTCTGATGATGTCACCATCTGATGCAGCAAAAGTTGAACCACGTCCACCTTTTCTGCCACACGAGGCTTCGTCGTTTTGCCGGAGTTCCCTGCAGTGCTGATGCCGGCTACGGTGAACACAGTCCCCCATAGGAATGAACGGGGAGAGCTGCATTTTTTTCACACCTTTGAAACTTGGTGTGAACTTGGCCCAAGTAGTCTAATAGGATCACAGAGTTGATGGTGATCTTGGCATATTAGCACACACCAATCTGAGCCAAATCTTTGTGTTTCTTCTGAATCCTCACCCTGAGTCTGATATATATATTCTATAGAACACGAGTGTCAGATGCCACTTTAACATTTGGACCAGTTTTGGCCGTTATCTGCCAAATGGTGGTATGTGTGTACCAAAAATGGCCCAGATGTGGAAGTATAGTAGCATCTGATACTCATGCTGTATATAGGCAAATCTTTGTCAGACTTGAGAAATGCAAATAATTGTCAGGTTAATTTTGCTATATGGGTAAAGGAAACAGTTGGTTGACAAACTGTCTAGTTTAGAAATAGAAATATACCGTCTATTGTTGAAACAGACAAAAGTAAAATGGATTCGTTTAAACAACTAACTGTAATGGATAGACACTTGATTAGTTTATTAGATCATCAGTTAAGAAATGTTAGCTCACATTTACTTCATACATTTATTGATATGCCACCATATTAGCTGCATTTGATCAGCCTCTATATAAGCAGAAAAGTATTCTCTTATGCTGCATGACCCATTTGTATGTTTGTATGTGTATAAGCCACAATCGCAAGCTGGAAAAAACTGACAGCAAAAAGTATAAAAAGCCCAGTAACAAAATGCCAGCAACATGTCTACCCATTCTAATCTAATTTGTTTATTTGCACCTGCTAAATGGTTTAGGTTTTTTAATTCTATCCCATATTACACACCACGTATTTCAACAAAAACGTGATGCATTCCTTGTTTTACCTCCCACAAGGAGTCATATGCTTCCATCCTTTCCAAACTATGTGCAAAACCGCATCAACAGAATGACCTGAGTGACATACAGTGGGGCAAATAAGTATTTGATACACCGCCGATTTTTCAAGTTTTCCCACTTACAAAGAATGGACAGATCTGTAATTTTCATCGTAGGTACACCTCAACTAAGAGTGAGAGACAGAATCTACAAAAAATTCCAGAAAATCACATTGTTAGATTTTTAAATAATTAATTTCCATTTTATTGCATGAAATAAGTATTTGATCACCTACCAACCAGCAAGAATTCTGGCTCTCACAGACCTGTTAGTTTGTCTTTAAGAAGCCCTCCTATCCTCCACTCATTGCCTGTATTAATTGCACCTGTTTGAACTCGTTACCTGTATAAAAGACACCTTTCAACACACTCAATCTATCAGACTCCAACTTCTCCACTATGGGCAAGACCAAAGAGCTGTCTAAGGACACTAGGGACAAAATTGTAGACCTGCACAAGGCTGGGATGGGCTACAGGACAATAGGCAAACAGCTTGGTGAGAAGGCAACAACTGTTGGTGCAATTATTAGAAAATGGAAGAAATTCAAGATGACTGTCAATCTC